AAACATTGAGATACGCAAGAAATTTGATAACTTACGGTAATTGGCGTGTATATACGTCACTTCCGTTGTGAATTGATTTTGGACATAACTTACGTATACGACATAAACGCTCAAGAGGTTAAATCAAAAGAAACTTTCCATACTTTCCCACAGTAAATACCATTCGATACCATACAAACTTCTCATACTGCTACAAAACAAAATTCTATTAATTGTTAATTAAACCTTTTATAATCGACCTCAAAAATCGAAAGAGACTACCTACAATTATTTCCAATGAAGGAATGAAACCAATAAAAATAAATAAATTGAAAGAAACTTTCTGTATAATAAACACCATTTAATACCACTTAAATTTGTTAAATTGTTTCAAAACGATCTATCGAAAGGGATTATTATCAATTAGTATTAAAACTTCCTTCTACTATTCAATAATTCAAGAAAAGATTTACAAGAACCATAATGCCATACAAACTTCTCAGATTGCTACGTTAATTGTTAGTTAATCCTTTGCACTCGGTGAGTATTTTCGTTACAGAGAAATAGCAATTGAAAGACTTTCTGCTGTAACGTCGAGGATATTTTTGAAACGGTAAATAAGGAATTGGGTATAAATTAAGACTTAAAATTCGACAGGTGCGTTCTGTTAAACAATTAACACTATAAACTTCTCATATCTCTTTGTGAGCCTCAGCCGCATTCTTGCCTTCATGAAAATAAAAAAGTAAAATGTGTCGAAAATGCTTATTTTTGCAGTCCATGTTAAGACTGACCGTGAACTGACTGTTATAAACGAAATTACACGGAATTTCACGAAATAGCAACCTAAAAGTATCGACTACCACATCTCAAAAGAAAAAAATTTTAACATTGATAAAAGAATAACTAAACAAGCATAACATTATTTACCGATGCAAACCGAAATTACATTCTTGCCAACCCAATAGCTGAAAATAGCAAAAGAAAGTACCTCTAGAACGTTCTCCAAATCTAGAGGCTTCCCTGACTTGCCTCATGCCAACGATAGGCAAGCAAATACCCATCTGCCATTGGCAAGGAACCTAAGCCACGAAGAGTAAAACGAACGGTTCATAAAATTGCCGGTGGAGACGCAAACGATGGGATTTGTATTCATTACACTCGCTATTCGCGTGTACCAAGAGCGGCGTCTCTGGACCACCAGGCGCGAGACGTGCGAATCCACCTTTGTACAAGCGTATTTACATTCACGTAGGAGCTAAATGGAAGTTGCATCGGCCGTGGAATGCAGCCTCGTGGGACATCCGTCCGTGAAACGTATGCATCGCGGTCGAAGCACGTGGGACGTCTGTACATCCACTTGTTTGCGATTTTATTGCGGCCTGTACATCCTCCTGCCTTCCCAGAAAATCCCCTGCGTCTGTCTTCGGTGAAGCTGCGCGCGCATCTTCCTTCTCGCGGGCCCGCTGAGTGCGTTGAATGTTCCTCGTGGAGAACAGCGAGCTTTCGATTTGGTCTTAAGGCGTGTACATTACGCCGTAGGCAGATTTTTGTGGTGGACAGCGTGGGAGTACGGTCGAGGGAGAGGTTAGGTTCGAGAATGGCCGTTGCGGTTAGGGATTATGTTTGACAGGTTGTGAAAGGTAAATGTTGCTTTGCACTGATCATTTTGGAAGTGCGGGGTGATAGGTTAGGCTCTTATAGGTTAGGTTTGTCTGCAGTTCCTTTTCAGTCGGTAGAAAATTGTTTTTAGTTTGAGAATATCCTTTTTGGGGGCTTGGAAGACTATTGAGTTAGATTAAAGATAATTAGAGGGAAATATTAAGGTAATAAGTTCTTTTTAATGACTTCACACTGATCGAGTAACGAATTATAGTGAATCTTAGACTGCATTAGATCAGAGAATTTAGGTTAGGTTAGAAAATTGATTAGAAATATTTTTGGTAGAATTTAAAATAACGGATTCTTACAAATAGCATAGTTTTTATAGGTTAGGTAACTTTTTACGATTCAAGAAATTTTTATGAAAGAAATTTTATGAGTCGAATATTTCAGCTAGAATTAAAAATTTGTTTCCGTCTCGATGAAATAATATTTTATCATATTCGATTATAATTCTTAAATAGTTTTTTCATTATTTTTAATTAAGTTTATTCCTCTTTCATACTCTTCTAGAAATATTTATTCGAAACTGGAATTTCATTATTTGACAGAAATCAAATAGTGAACAATCTTCTTTCCAGAAAAAAATATTTTATCTCGTTAATTATCAAAAATACTCGAAACTTTTCGGTGATTTCAATCTAAATTATTTAAATGATTAAGTTATTACATTTCCTACGTTTATATACTCAAAAAAATCATTTGCTTCTCTAAAATAAATGTAAATAGTAATTTTCTTGAAATTTGTCATTATTTTAGGGAATTTTTGCTATCCACGTGCAAATATGCTTTTTATCTCTATCTCGAGAGGACAAATACCATCTTGCATAAGAGTTTGATTCGAACGTAAGGCATCGTGAATTTCCCAGTGTCCCAGAATACCACGTGACTCTAATTAACGCATCTAATCAAAGATTGCGACGATCGATGCGACTCGAGAATTGCAATGAAGCAAATGGAGAAACTAATCGGTCGTTCTTGAGCAATTAGTGCTACCTGGACGGAATTGCACCGAAACTATTCGCGATTCCCTCATCGTACGAGATTCTCTCCTCTCCTCCCGTCAGCTCGATTCATTCGCGATTCCTGCATCGTGGCCGTCGTACGGTCTCGTGTTTACGTTCACGTAGGAAACACCTTGACTCGACACAAAAACCTAGTTACCATCTCGATACGCTATCTGTACACGAGGACGACACATTGTACTAGGAATTAGGAAATTTGATGGGTAACTCGTGGATTTACTGTTTCAGTGTTATCTCTTTTAACGTTGAAAGAAGTGACTAAAGTGAGGAAATTGTAGAAATTAATTAGTTTTGACTAATTTAGTCTTGATTAATATTTTGATCTTATTAGCTACAGTTTTAGATAATAAATTATTATTTCATTATCTATAGTTTGTTTTAATAATTGTTTTTGCAGCGAAGAAAATTTGATTAATTGTTTTAGTCTCAGTTTTATAATCTTTCAATGGTTACTGCTTTTAATGTGTATTTTGTTTGGAGTCCTTAATTACTTTAGTTATTTTCTTTTATTGGTACTCTTTAGGTTACTTGGTATTTTCAGTAGTTTCTTTTCTAGCGTTTTGGATGACTTAATGCTTCTATCTAGTGTTTCTATTGCCGTCAGTTACTTTAGTGATGATATTGGTGATGATTTTTCTTTTATTTTGATATTATATAATTTATTTTGACAATTTGTGGTTGCACAATTCCAAGCCTAGTATGTATATACAAACTTATTTTCTTAAATATTTTCGTGAACTCCAAAAATATTTAGTTATTAATATTAATCAATTGTTAAATTTCTATAAAAGGCAGAATTAAACAATCGTACAGGTATAGTATTTAAACATAAATATAGATAATAACATTATTTATATTTATTCTTCAAATTCCTGCTAAAATCTGCAATTTTCTTGAAAAATTTCTGAAGAAACCCAGAGGATTGCCAATCCTGATTGAAAATTCGAAATATTTCTTAATTAATATCTAAATAGAATATAATTTATTCTACATTTTGGTTCCTGTGATCCATACCGTTTTTCGCGACAGTTACTTGTGAAAATAAATAGAAAGGTGAAAAATAATAATAACAACAATGATAATAAAGGAAGAAAATTCGAAGCTAGTAGAGCAACGAAAAGATGCAGTGCTGCCAGTTGCATACTCTGCACTTCCTCCACGCATTGTTTCGTTCCCTCCGACTTTCGAGGACCTCGTATGCAACAAGGCAAGTTGAGTTAGGTCAACCCTCGATCCGAGGCTACGAATTCCTCCTCGGATGCATTGTTCCAACGATGCACCATATTGCATTCCATTATTTCCAGCACATGCGTGCAACGGGGGCAATTACTGAGTCGCGAGGGGGTCGTAGGTTTAATCCTCGAAATTATTTGCAGCAAACGTAAAATTTTATCTAGGTTTACTTTCAAAACTATTTTTCCTTTTCCCGCTTTTTTTTCTTTTTTTTATAATTTGGTATTTACAAAATGGCAAATCACATTTAAATTCAATTAAATAATTAGAATTGATAATCAGATTATGAATTTTTTCCTGAATATTGAGAGTTGGTAAATTAATAAATTATTATAATAATAATTGACGTAGTTCATTAGGAGGTCGAAGGTTTAATCCTCGGAATTATTTACAGCAAATGTAAAATTTGATCTAATTTTACTTTGATAACCATTTTTCCAATTTCCCATTTTCTTTTCTTTGTAATTCAGTATTTATAAAATGATAAATCACATTTAAATTTAATTAAATAATTAGAATTCGTAATTAGATTATGAATTTTTTCCTAAATATTGAAAATTAGTAAATCAGTAGATTATTATAATATTAATTGACGTAATTCATTAGGGTGTCGAAGGTTTAATCTTCAAAATTATTTACAGTAAACGTAAAATTTTATCTAGGTTTACTTTCACAACTTTTTTTCATTTTCCCGTTTTTCTTTTTTTATTTATGATTCAGTATTTATAAAATGGCAAATCACATTTAAATAATTAGATAAATAGAATTGCTCATTACAACACGAATTGTTTCCTAAATATTGAAAATTGGTAAATTAGTGGGATAATGTAATAATAATAGATGAAATTCACTCATATTTTTTTCATTTTCCCGTTTTTCTTTTTTTATTTATGATTCAGTATTTATAAAATGGCAAATCACATTTAAATTTAATTAGATAAATAGAATTGCTAATTACATCACGAATTGTTCCCTAAATATTGAAAATTGGTAAATTAGTGGGATAATGTAATAATAATAGATGAAATTCACTCATATAGGTTTATCTTTGTCATCACTGTTCGCAATTTACTTTGAATATTAAAAATCGACATAACTCACCCTGCAACAAAAATCCATGCAGCGCGAGGTTCATGGCTACGATCAATTCCTTCAGCCTAGAACAGAAAAATATTTTATTAATACTCGAATTTAGGACGAAAATTTCATTTCTTGTTCTTTATAATTAAAAATTGCAATTTTTAAAATAAATAGACGAATTGAATTATGAAGAATGTACATAATTTTCTCCACATTTTCAATCCTACTGCTTCCCATGCTCTACCAAAAATGAGTACTTGCATTCATTAAGAATATACTGAATAAATTCTTAAGCGAAGATTCTAATTTCTACGTAAACTTTTCTCTTAAATATTTTAAATCTCTAATTTTGAACCATTTTATTCAAAAAATTAGAATTACTAGTAAATTCTTGAAATATCCTTCTTTCCTTTGCACTTCCTTTTAGCGCAAAAAGAATCTATCTCTATGGTAAAGACCTTTCAACATCACTCCACGGATAGTCATAAATTAAAACAAATGATTTTCTCAGGCTCATTACACAAGAGCGCTACTATCTACCCAATCACGTGCACGTCTCACGTACGATCAACTGATAGTTCAATTTCCTAAGACTAATTGCTTTTAATTGATCAGATAGACGCAATCGACGGTCAAAACCGAGGGATCGATCAGAAAATTCCTGCTTTTCAAGACCTACGAATGATAGATGATGATAATGCAACGCTAAGCGATGCTAATTGCGGCTAAATTGCACGGAGGCGTACAGGAATCTCTGAACAAAGTAAATTCGTTCCTATCCGCTTGGGAATTTAATGTATTCTCTCTCGAAACTGGCCATTGCAGCTTTGGAAATCGGTAGCTCGCGTATTGTGACCATTAATAGGTGATTTAAAGGCATTCGTGGAATCGGTGGTAATAAAGAAGTGCGTGCAATGGAAGATTCAATTTTTATTATTAATGACACTCTATCGAGAATTTCCAGTCGTTTAACGTAGATTTTATGGGTAATGAAATAATAGTCCTGATTGAAATTGAGAGGGATTTAAATACAAATGGGAATGATGAAAAATTCATGTTTATTATTAATGGCAAGCGATTGCAATGCTCCAATCGTTTCTCGTTAATTTCCTCAGTAATATGATAATAGTCGTGACTGGGACTTTGAAAATTCGATGATTCAGAATGACAGTGATTTCAATTTAAATTGGTTGTAAATCAGGATTGTCGATTTTATGACTTCGTGTTACTGTGATGCTACTGGATGAATGCAAGTGGTAGTAAGATGAGATCATATTGTGTATGATAAAATAAGAGAATTTGGTTTTTGTAAAGAGCAAAGTAAAGTTCAAAATTAGTACAGATTAGTATGCAGCAAGGTTGCGATTGATATAGTAAGATATAGTGTTATTTAAAAAAAAAAACAGTGAAAGAAAATGTTCTAAAAAATTTTATGGTCATCATTTATGTACTAAATTCTTGTTAACAAAAAATGTCTTACTATTTAAACTATCATTTTTATCACCATATAAAGAAATCTAGAGGAATTCTAAAAATTACAGTAAAATAATATATTTCCAAAAATGTCAATATTACATACTATTTTAATTATTTGTTACAAAAAAAAAAATGTTTTCAATGTATAAGTATCATCTTTATTACTAAGTCAAAAAATCCAGGGAAGTCCCAAGAATACCACTGTTACTATGTTTTATTATCAAAAAGTATACTTCTTTATTTCAGATACATTTTATTACTGCAAAAAGATTGGAGCGAATTCTAAAGACCAGAGAAAATAAAAATATTTTAATATATATATCCCTATCATGGAAATTTATCCTATGGAAGTGCGACAGTGGTTATTGTTTATGAGAAATGAATAAATATTCGAATTTATTATTAATAAAAAATTAAAATTATTAATAACAATTTGTTGAGATCGTAAATTTATAATGAAAGTGAAAAAATTAATAAATTATTGATTATTACACGAATTTAAAGAGTACTTGTATTAAAATGTACATATAATTTACAAAAAGTTTATAAATTATTACGCTTATTGTTAATAACATATGTATATTGTTACTAACAAATTGTTCGCAACGTATATTTATAGTAAAAGTGCAAAAATTAATAAATTATTTTCTATAAGAGCGGAAAATTAATAATTAATAGAATCGGTAAAGTTTGAAAATTTCCGATCGGGGTGGGGAGCTTGGCCGATCGAAGGCTATATAAAGGGCGACGCGACGCAGCAGAAGCCATTTGTCAGTTCGTCCTCCGAAGTGACACATCTAAACTAAGTGCGCGGAAGGGGTGGGGGTCCGAAATGAGATTAGGGCTAGCCACCCCACCCTCACCTCACCCCATTAAACAATTTACTAATAATTTTTATTTTGTTTTCAGGAATTAATTTTTTTTTTATTTACAGGTTTAATTATTTTTCCTTTTTCCAGCTTTTAATTATTTTTTATACCTTCAGATTTTATTTTCTCGTTTCCATTTATTTTTATTTAAGCATTCGAATATTTCGTATAATATTCGAATGTTTCGTCGTTGGTTTTTTTGTTTATCATCGTTGGGTTTTGCATAGGTTCCTTTTCAGGTTCTAATTATATATTTTTTTCAGCTTCTAATTATATTTTTCCTTTAGATTTTAATTATTTTTCTTATTTCAGATTTGATTTCTCCCTTTCTATTTATTTGTATTTACAAATTCGAATATTTTGTCTAATATTCGAATGTTTCGTCGTTGGTTTCTTTATATCTCATCGATGGGATGTTATTGTTTCATCGATGGGTCGTTCTTTCTATTTGGTTTCATTTCTCTGTTTTCTATTCGTTTCGTTCTTATCTTCTTTCCTTCCATTAATCCGTTTCATTTCAGATTTATATATATATTTTTTTTCACGTTTATGTATTTCCTTTTCAGGTTTATATATTTTCTTTTTAGGTTCTCAAGTTCTTCAAGATTTCATTCGGAAGACATCGTTGGACGACGCGGGATGCGAGCGTTTAGATCTAAGTAGTTATAAGCAGTTATAAGATAGATCACTAGACTAAGTCTCATGTGAGCGTTATCTGTACAATGGTAAGCTACCTAACTTGGAGCGAATATAGACATTTCATATTTTCCCCCTCGTTTACCAAATAGAACATAATTGTTCTCGCGATAATCGCGATCGTTCTTAAGTATCAACTAGCCTACGCGACGTACTCTCGTGTGCTCGATAACTCCATGTTTCGTAAGTCATCCAAACGATCGTTCCGATACTCACCCTCGCCACTGCCACCCTTGTCATGTATCGGCTGTAGGGTGGTCGGCGGGCTGGCACTCACCTGAGTCAATTCGAGGGTCTGTCGGCCTTAGTCGTCCTGGGCACCAGCGCGTGCACGACCGGGGTATGGGTCCTGTAGCCGGACATTGCATATGGGTCTCTACGGTCAGACCCCATGGGATGATTAATTTCTCCCCCATGTGGCAGGGGCCTGCGTGACCGGCTACAGAGCCTTGCTAGGGACCCTCGGCTTGATTTTGGGTGTTTCGTTGGTTCGTCGATCGCTCTCGTTCGCGAGTAAGTCATGGCAGGGTCTGTGGTGGCTGGGGGGACTAGGTTCGATCGGGAGGGTGCCGAGGCATGAAGTTGTCTTGTACACGAGAGTACGTCTCGTAGGCTAGTCGGTCTTTCGAATAATCGCGAATTCGTTCGGGCGTGTCGCGATTTTTCACTTGCTCGCGTCTTTCGCATTTCGTTCCTTATTTTTACGGGAACTTAGAAATATTAGAGTCTGTTGAAATAAAATATCTTAGCGTTGCGACAGTAGAGTTTTAGTATACCGAATCGAAGTACCCTTTGTAAGACACGAAATATAATAAAGTGTCAGTAGAGTCGCTTTAACCTCTTTCGTTCCAAATTAGGTTAGGTTGCCTTTGATACAGGTAGCGCCAGTAGGATGCGCCACTAGGGCGCACGTCCGGGTCTCGATGCGTAGCCACCTCCACGTGGTGGAACCTGGTAATTGGTATGGTTTCCCACAAAATAATTTTTGGGAAACGATACCAAGCTAAGAGCTACGCACCAAAGTTGAAATATTAGTTATACGTTAGTTACAAATTATTCATTAATTAGTTGTAATTTAATTATAGATTACATATAAGTCAGTAATAAGTCCCCTTTAGAACATTGAAGATAAAGAGTGGGTAATATCTGCTGCAGTAATATGTAGATTAAAATGAATTAAGGTAAGTATGCTTAGCAAGGGTGGGTCAAAGTTAAACAGCAACAAGCTACAATCTCTATAAAGTTTCCTGCTTATCCCAACACTCATCAATTTACCTAAGCCCTAAAGCAAATCTTAACTTAAAAGTACCTCTAAATCCCACCACCTATCCATCACATTTAGACCTAGAGTCTAAAGCAAAAGTGAAACCTAGCCTAAAGGTACTTCCGAATCTCACCACTTATTAATCACATTTAGACCTAGAGTCTAAAGCAAAAATCGAATCTAGTCCAAAGGTACTTCCAAATCTCACCATCTATTAATGACATTTAGACCTAGAGTCTAAAGCAAAAATCGAATCTAAACCAAAGGTACCTCCAAATCTCACCATCTATCAATCCCACTTAGACCTAGAGTCTAAAGCAAAAGCGGAACCTAGTCCAGAGGTACCTCTAAACCCCATCCAGCATCTCCACCCACACTCTTCAAACCTCACAGCCCCATATCTCGCCATCCATCATCGCAACAACCTCGCATACCAAACTCGAACAAACAAGATCCACGCCAAAGTTACCCAAGGATACCACACACTCTCCTTCTCCCTCTAAAGAGAGAAATCTCTCCTAACGGCTCCGAACGAAATCACGTCGGCTCGATCATCCGGATCGATAAAGTCCGAACATGTGCAAGGCGATCGACGGTGGCGCACTCGAAAGTCCTCGTGAAGCACAATGGCCGCGTTGCAGCGGAATTAATTCAGGTCGAGCACGTAGAAACGCGAGCGGGTAACGGTGCCTCTCTGCGGGCACAAAACGGCCAACGGAATTGTTTCTGGCACACCGCACTTCTTTTCCCGTTTCTCAGCTCCTT